TCCACTGTCTTGGAATAGTCTGCAATTGAAATGGAAACTGAGCAATCTGGTGCCACTAAATGTTTTTAAAGCTCGGTTGGATGCTACTCAATCGGAAGCTGTTGGTACCTGTTCATGTGGATAGATATGTAAATTGTAATCCCTGTAATGATGCTGTATGATGTCCTTTTTGTTGTTCTGTTTATGTTTTTATGCTTCATGTGGAACCTTCTTGAGCAGGTCTCCCTTGAAAAAGAGATCAATGATCTCAATGGGATACACCTGGATAAATAAAGGTTTGAAAGAGACGGTGAGAACTCGCCTTGACGGGGAATCGAACCCCACTCTCCTGGTTGACTGGCGGCAAAACCCTCCCATCAGTTTCCGTAGTGTAGTGGTTATCACGTTCGCCTCAAAGCGTTCAGTGAGCCGGGTATACCTATAGAAGACTTCCTATTGGCCAGAAGCCTCTTCAAGCCGTGTATACCGATGACAAGGTTAATCCTGGTGTCAATAGGGAAGATCTGCACGGTTTCTCTACAGCCCATGTTCAGCAGACCAGGTGTTGGTGCTGCCGGATTTGGCACCCCCACTATAACTTTGTCCAGGGTGGTCGTACTGCCACCAAAATCACACTATAGTGTTTGCTGTTCACCGGTAGTTTTTGCACACAAAAGCATTTTACTCTGGGCTCAGCAGGTGAAAAACTAAAGAGGGGCTTCCACATGTGGCAGACCAGGTGTTGGTGCTGCCGAATTTGGCACCCCCACTATAACTTTGTCCCAGAACCCAGATAGTCGTACTGTCACCTAAATCATACCGGTGTTTGCTGTTCACCTGTAGTTTTTGCACACAAAAGCATTTTACTCTGGGCTCAGCATATATACATATATTTATTTTTTAATTATTCTTTGCCTTTCAAAAGCATTACATCATTATTTACACAACACGAAAATAACTTAATGTAAAGTATTTATTTCACCTTCCCTTATTATACATCCATGGGTACAAGTCCGGACTGCGGCTGTTTGTTGATAAATTAATGTTGTCTTCTTCTGTTTGCTTTAATGTAGGCTACTTAGTTGTGCAGCGCCCCCACCGCCAGTAAATGAAAGTATACGAACCATAGACTGTATACGAACCCTGTTAATTATGTGCAGTTATTTCACGAGTTTTATTATATACACCTCGAAACAATTACCGAGGTCCGGACCTCGGTGACCTCAATGGTGGGTTCGGCCATGATTGTCTGGTTCACTGTTACACTGCTCGTTAACCCACATATCTTATCAGCCAATCACATGGCAGCAACTCAATGCATTTAGGCATGTAGACATGATCAAGACGACCTGGTGAAGTTCAAACAGAGCATCATAATGGGGAAGAAAGGGGATTTATTTGACTTTGAACGTGGCATGGTTGTTGGTGGCAGATGGGATGGTTTGAGTATTTCAGAAACTGCTGATCTACTGGGATTTTCATGCACAGCCATCTCTAGGGTTTACAGAGAATGGTCCAAAAAAGAGAAAATATCAAATGAGCTGCAGTTCTCTGCCAAAATGTCTTGTAGATGCCAGAGGTCAGAGGAGAAACACCAGACTGGTTCAAGATGATAAAAGGGCAACAGTAACTCAAATAACCACTTGTTACAACCAAGTTATGCAGAAGACCATCTCTGAGTGCATGCAACACGTGGAACCTTGGAGCAGATGGGCTACAGCAGCAGGAGACCACACCGGGTGCCACTCCTGTTAGGCAACAACAGGAAACTGAGGCTACAATTCGCACAGTCTCACAAATTGGACAATAGAATATTGGAAAAATGTTGCCTGGTCTAAGAGTCTCGATTTCTGCAGCGACATTGGGACGCATGGATCCATCCGGCCTTGTTCAGGCTGGTAGTGGTGGTGTAATGGTGGGGGGGGGGGATATTTTCTTGGTATGCTTTGGGCCCCTAAATAGCAATTGAGCATCGTTTAAACGCCACAGCCTATGAGTATTGTTGCTGACCATGTCCATCCCTTTGTGACCACAGTGTGTACCCATCTTCTGATGGCTACTTCAAGCAGGATAACGTACCATGTCAAATAATCTCAAACTGTTTACTTGAACATGACAATGAGTTCACTGTACCCAAATGGCCTCCACAGTAACCAGATCTCCATCCTCCAACCTTTGGGATGTGGTGGAACGAGAGATTCGCATCATGGATGTGCAGCCAACCAATCTGCAGCAACTGCGTGACGCTATGTAATTTGCACCAAAATCTCTGAGGAATGTTTCCAGCACCTTGTTGAGTCTATGCCATGAAGAATTAAGGCAGTTCTGAAGGCAAAAGATGGTCCAACCCGGCACGAGCAAGGTGTACCTAATAAAGGGGCCGGTGAGTGTATAGTACTAAACAAAATAAGAGGGAGCACTGTTTCGAAACATGCCAACATGCAGAGAAAAGTTACATTATGCTTTCCCAAGTCTGGGCGTAACCGTCCCCTGCTTTTTTCAGACAACGAAGGACACAAAGGTACTGACCAGGGCTGGACTGGCCATCTGGCATACCGGGCATTTTCCCGGTGGGCCGACGTGCCTTTTGGGCCGACACGTCATTTTTTTTTTTTTCTGAAGTCCCGGCCCATAAGACGGGTAGATTGGCCCTCTGTTTAAATGTTTTTAGTAATTGACACTGGGCCGGCCCAATCAAATCTTTAATCACCTCCCCCTTTGGGCCGCTCGGTGTGCATCATTAAATCACGCCCCCAGGAGGTGAGCCGGCCGTTGAAGCCAAACCGCCTTTTTTTTCGAAAAAAAAAAAAGTTCGAGTTTGAAATGGAGAAGGCGAAGGCGAAGACGAAGGCCAAGCGAAAAGGGGGAGCAGAAAAATTGCGGCCAAGAAAAAAGCAGGCCCTTCGTGCTGATGCTGCCGCTTGTGTCAAAATAACCGACATGTTTAGTACAGGTGCAGGTCCATCTTCAGCACCCGTGGCCGATATTGGTGGTGGTGAGGAAGATGATGAGAGGGAGAGAGATCAGCGCGAGTGGGGAGAGGGAGGAGAACTCGCGGTAAGCAGAAGCTAAGACAATTAGGAAAAGATTATTATTAAGGTTATGATACTCTGTAGTTCTGGAACCCATTAATATCCCCTTGATGAAGCACTAATAAGACAAATATTATAAGAGAAACATTCGTTAGCCTACAAACTAGTAAGCTGGCTTTTTTAGGTTTTCCCTGGCAAGTTAAAATATAGCTTAATGGGACTCTGATACTGTTCTCATTGAAAGAATGTCATTATTTTGTTAACCACCATTCATGAACAATTACTGTCAGCTGGCAGCTTGTTTTGTTTAGTTTATTTACTTATGTGGTTATAAGGGCAACAGTGGTCTTTTGGGACCTGACATTTTTTTTTATAGTCAGCTTTTTGTGGTAGTTTTGATTGACAATATATAGAATGAATAATATAGAAATAGAAAAAAAAATGGAGGCACACATGTAGTTTTGACCATTAACTGTGTGGTATTGTTATGTCAATGCCTATTTGTATGGACCTCTATCAGGGACCAAAGAGGTCACCTGCATCCTTTTTGACTCTCCCAAAGCCCCCCAACTACACTCACACATGCAAACAGACACACAGACACACACACACACACACACACACACACACACACACACACACACACACACACACACACACACACTAACTCCTACCCCGAGGAATGGACGCTGGACATAGTGCCCCTCTCCACAACAAGCATTCATTTTTGTTATTTCAGTCTAGTATATAAGTTACTTTGTGTGTACAGTATATATATACAGTATATATATCTTGCTAGTTGTGTACTTTTGTAATTTATGTGGGATTTCTGTCAAATGTTGCTTCAACTCTCTTTGTAAATTTAAATCTGTCTCTTTCAAACCTATTCTCAGGAAAAAAAATAAAGACAGTGGATAGTATTTTTGGTTAAACCTGTGTTCCTTCAGTTCTGTGTGCTCTGTGAGGTTCTGAGAAACCAGCCGCCTAAGACTTGCACTATAGCCCCTTGCGTGCGTCAATCAATCAATCACATTTTATTTATATAGCCCAATATCACAAATTACAATTTGTCTCAGAGGGCTTCACAGTGTGTACAGGTACGACATCCTCTGTCCTTAGACCCTTGCAGCGCTCAAGGAAAAACTCCCCAAAACAGACCCCACAATTAACAGTGGAAAGTAGGAAGAAACCTCTGTGAGAGCAACAGAAGAGGGATCCCTCTCCCAGGACGGACAGACGTGCAATAGGTGTCGTGTGTATAGATGAAAAAGGCAATACAATTACAGCGATTAAAAAAAGGATGGTAAAATTAAATGAAAGCGTCAATGTATGTAAAAAGATGCCGTCGACTCATCCTGTAGAGTCTACAGGATGAGTCGACGGCATCTTTTGTGTAGACTCATCTGGTCCTATCTCTATTGTGTTGTCATAGAAAGGGGAGGCAGGGCACTATAGGGTCCCCCCCCCCCCCTAAATTCACTAGAAGTCATCATTTAAGGGGTTATTTTTAAAACTTTTCTTCTGTGGGGGGCATACCCCCCCAGACCCCCCTATTAGTGCTCGTCACTGTTCGCTTTGTGAGAGGGTTTGAAGGTCTAATTTCTAATGATTGATAGTTACACATACATACTTGTGGTATGTATTAGTTTTGTTTGCCCCTGGTACGTAAAAAGGATAATAATAGCGTTTTTTTTTAATTATACTGAGTTATTCTTCTTGTCAGGAACCGCTGCTATTCGTTTGTTTTATGGATTTGGGCCGGTCTGGGTCTAAATGCCAGGGCCGATTTCCTGTCCCAGTCCAGCCCTGGTACTGACTCTACTTATTATTATTCCGACCTAGTCCTATACCTTGTATCTGTGATCTGGCTGATTGTGATTCCACAATGGTAGTATGTGCAGTTTTTTTTCTTCCTATGGTCCTAGAGTAAAAGCATAAAAGACGTTAAGATATGTAATGTATAGAATTCCTGAAGATATCAGACAGATACACATTTGACCGACTGTCCCCGAAGGCACCGTGGAAGACGCGCCTTACGTAGCAGTCACGTGTTTGCGTCAACAGAAACAAACATGGCGCCGCGAAAGTGAGGAAAACTCTGATGTGAGTGTGATGTTTCTACTCCGATTATTATGCGGTTTGTTGTTGTTTCACGTAGCAGTTTGACAAATAAACACACAAATGGAAGACGTTTAAAGGAAGCTTTACCGATAATTGTGTGCATTTATCTGATTTCAGTCGTTTTGGGCTTCTCATTTAGTCTTTTTATTTACACTTAAGTTGTTATTGTTTAAGGTCCAAGTTCGTATGTCCCAGACAGATGAGAGGGGAAAAAAAAGACAAGTCATCTTCATCTTGTTCTTCTTCTTCTTCTTCATCGTCATCATCATCATCAGGTAACTGCTCCGACAAAAGCACGTTTTTTAATCAGAATCCTTAGTTCATGCCCATATTAGTAAATAATAATCTTTAAAAAATAATAATTGTGTCTTATGAGGCACACCACTTGATTACCGATATAGCCTATCGTAAATTACTTTTACAAAAATATTTTACTAGAAGAGTGTAATGTTCTTATTTGTTTAAGAGTCAACACGGTGTCTTATTTAAAACAAATAAGAACATTACAAAGAGTATATTAGTATTTTCCACATCTTCAACGTCCTGTATTTTAGTGTTTCTTTTCCATTTTATATGAATATCTTCAGGAGAAATCTACAATTGATTTCACATTTCATGTGACACAGTTACTCCAAATTGTATTTATGTTTTTATTAGTTTACTTATACTCTACCATCAGCAAAAAAGGTTACCTGACATATTCACACTGTCTAATTATTATTTATTTGACCCCCCATTTAAAGGTGGGGTAGGTAAGTTTGAGAAACCGGCTCGAGATCGATAGAATTTGAAAATACACAACCGGAGAAAATCTGCCACTTCCTTATAGAGCCCCTCCTCCAACACACACGAACGCGCACATGACCAATGAGGGCACGAGATAAGTTTGTGCACAGATGGAAGGCTGACAGGCAGGTAGGCCATCCAGTTATTTTAGCCGGGCCGGCTAAAATGATTGGTCGTACTTTTTACAGTATTACGGCTTCCACAGATGACATTTCTTTTATGGATTTTTTGTCAAAGCACTTAAGATATTCATTGCTATCGGGACGTTAAGAGCATTCCATGGAATATAACAAAAAGTGTATCTCGAGCCGGTTTCTCAAACTTACCTACCCCACCTTTAAATTATTTGGTAAAGAATTCCATAGTTTAACTCCAACTACAGATCAATTAAGCCTTGTATAATTACACTGTACAACTATTTATATTAGATTTTATTACAGATTGTATTTTTTTTATATGAAAATAGTAATACAAATGTTTTGTTTTTTCTGTCACCTTAACTCTGGCCCGATTGAACACCAGCGCAAACGCTTGGTGTTGAGAAACTGTATTTGAAACTACTGGATTATGAGGAAAATTTAACTCTTGAAGTCTCTTCTGTGTCTTTTTTTGTATCAAAGTTTCTTAGGAGCAGACCAAGATGGCTCTAAGGAAGCAAATACTGAAGGATACCAGCGACATTCCCTGTGGAAGCCAACAGGTAGACAACAACTCACAGGAGGACGACGACGACGAAGACAACAATGTAAGGAAATGTGAACATTAGTTAGAATTAGCTGAGATAAATACAGGTTCATATGTCTAAATCCAGCGTCACTGAAGCAGTTTTTAATAGTACATTAGCAGGTGGAGCTCGGGGATTAGACAATGTTTTTATTTTTCATTTACGTTGCAAGCAGCTGTTTTCTACCCACATTTTCCTGAATTTAAATTAATAGTTGGATTAAAGCTTGACATTTTTCTCTGCAGGTTTCCTGTAGTTTCTATTTTATCTTATCTTAAACACTCTTTTAAAAAACAAACAGATGTGATGATTCAGTTGTGGCTAGATAGTCAATTGTGAGTGGTGGTTTTATGATAATTTGCATGCTAAAAAAAGACAATGAGTTACACCTCGGAAGACACAGATCCAGAAAACCTAAGACTTCCACGAAATTAACCGCACTAATTCTGTTTGTTTGTTCTTCCAGGAGGAGCTCTTGTCATCATTAACAACAAAAAAACGCAAGATAGAGAGGGAAAACAAATCCAAACAAGGTACATCACAGTTAGGGTACCAACGTCATTTCAAAAACATTGAGCGTATGTGCGGCGTAAACATTGGGTAAGATTGAACAATTGAAGAATGGCAGATATAAAGTGAATTGAGCTAGAAATGATCAAAATAATTGAAACACACACATGTTATTACTGTGACAAACAAAACAAAATACTACTGCTACTATTAATTTTCTTAAAATTATGGATTTTTCACATTATCTTGTAATAACATTCATTATTGAAGCTCCTGAATCTCTTTGAGATGCTATGTCATTCTCAAAATTGTCATGTATATCGACAAAAGTAAGAATCTAAAACCATTTTCTTTATCAATATGTGATAAAAACAACCCTGACTTCTGACTCGTGTCTCTGTTGTCCTCAGAGATGACGGAGGAGGAGATGATGGACTTGGCTCTGCGTCTGAGCGAACAGGAAGCCAGCGTCACGGCGCTCAGACAGCAGCAAGAGGAGGAGGCCATGATGAAAGCCATCCAAGAGAGCGTGAGTAAAGAGGAGTTTTTTTTTTTTAAATCCTCCCTTTTATGAAGGTTTTATACAGAGGAGGGAACCTTACATAAGTTTGAATTAATACATTCATAAATAAAATAAATCAATACAGCATAAGTGAATAAATGTGGAAATAAATAAATAAATACTGGAATAAATAACTAAAAGAATAAATAAATGTGGAAATAAATACTGGAATAAATAACTAAAAGAATAAATACATTTGGAAATAAATACAGGATTAATTAAATGCGACAATGAATACATTCATAAATACATTTGGAAATAAATAAATGAATAAATAAAAGTTGAAACGGAACACATATTATTATCTTAAATATGTTTCTACATTTATATTCACTCACTTCATCTAACAGGGAAAGACATGCAGAATGTACTAGAAGCTGTTTCTGTTTGTATCTGAGGATGAACAGAAAACTATCATTGTATTATTTTAGTTAGATAATAATAAATGACTGGGAAGAGGAATCAATCTTTGACACTAATTACGTCAATCTAGTTGAAATAGCTAATATAGTATCTAGATAATTATTTAATACCTATTTGTCTTGTTTGTTTCTCACAGATTGTCAGTCAGACACAACCCAGCCCGGCGTCCCAAAGTCAGAGCCTGCTGGACGATGCAGAGGCTTCACCCGGCGTCTGCTCCCGACGGAAACTCCTGTACTCAGGCAGGAAGACGGCGTCTGCCATCGACCAGGGAGCGTCAGCGGACATCCGCACAGCAGAGACCGACCTGAACCAAGGTGAGTCGGTCACATTACTACAGAACTACACTCTAGCTATTGTGCATATGACAAAAAAGCCTTTGAATTGAATCTTGAATCAATGTAGTCACAGAAGGAAAGTCTTCAGGGTTTATTTAAAGAAATCACAGCTTCCAAATCCACACGTCACGTGGCGGTCCACTACCAACTTAACACTTATCGACACTTTAAATTGGATTTAGTAGAATAACACATTATCACACAATCACGGGGTTGAACGCTTGCTAGTATATACAACCGTCTTGACAACACAAACATTTACTATACATATTTATACGTCTAAATGGCTCTTACAGTGAGTTTAATAAGACTTACTGTACCATTGCGATAAAGTTGTGTTTTTATTTTTTATTTTGAGATGTTTATATTTGATGTTTGTGTCTGTTTATTTTGTACTCCTCTTCAATGCCTTGTTTACATGCTACTGTAACGAAAATATTTCCCAAATTGAAATCAATAAAGTTTATCTTCAAACATGCTGTATTGTATGTTCAGGAGCCAAAGGAACTGGAGGTGAAAGTAATACCTTGAGAAAAAAGTTGAAAAGGAAAGAAGGAAGCCCTCTGCTGGAGATGCCAGATTTGTCACAGTCTCAGAAAATCTCCGCTCAGGATTCCCCCGGCAGCTCAGACTGCCTGTCAGCGCCTCTGGACTCCCCACAGGTCGGATAAACTCATTTCTACCCTATTTATCCTTAGATTGATCCGTTTATTTGGTTATCTTTTGGTTGTTAATTCAATTAGTAATCTATTCCATGTCAGAAAACGTTGCTGGTCAGTTTCTAACGTCCTTAGCCCATGTCTTTAAATGCCAAACTCAAAAATATACAATTTAGCAATTATAATTCTTATAATTTAACATATCTCATCACAAAAATCCAGAACACAATGTGATATTTTTTGCCCTGTTTCCCCACCGTCCACAACCCAAAGACGTTCAGTTACTGACACTGAGACAACTCACATTAGAGAAGATATAGACACAAATCTGAAATACATTATCAAAATATTTCACTATTGGTTTTCTTTTGACTAAATTCTCTTTTTTAGCCTTATTTTTTTTATTTGTTATTATTATTGCCATGACAGTTTATCTTCTTTGACTGTTTTTATGTATCAGAATCTGAATCAGCATTTCTTTAGAAGTCCCGCATCATGGAAATGTACAACGTTATAGCAAAAGGCAAGCAATAATAAAATGAAGACAAATAAGTACTCATCCATGGCTAAACAATTAGTAGCATCATTTAAATAAGTAAGTGTACATATTAAGGTTTGAGATGCTTTAAAATGTATGTTTTGCACCTAGAAATTATTATGTCATAGTAGAATTCCTCGTATATGTTTTAACCTACTTGGCAATAAACCTGTTTCTGATTCTGATTCTGAATCAGAGCTCCGACTCGACCCAGATCGAGGACTGCCAGCCCCCTAAATCCCCCGTCTTCCCCTCGCCGGGCTGCAGAGCCAAGGTCCTCGTCCCGCGGCTGAGCCAGGACCTGCTGCAGACCTGCAGGAGCTCAGGGTTTGTGTTGTGCTCTCAGGACACTTTGACCTCCACACGAGAGTCTCCGTCTGCTCCACGCAAGAGCCCGACGTTCCCAAAGAGCCCCAAACTCTCCAGTAAACTCTCCAGTAAGCTCCCACTGTGCAGGAGTCCTCTCTTCTCCGACCTCGATGAGGGAGACGATGGAGAGTATTTTAAAAGTCCAGTGTTTGGCTGGAATACTCAAAACAAGACGTCTGCAAGTGCCTGCAAACCCCAAGACCGTAAATCGGGGTTCACGTTTTCCTCCCAGGATAGTTTAACCCCCTCTGTGAGGTCCACTTCCTGTCCGCCCAAGAGCCCAGTATTCCCAAGAAGTCCCGGCCTTCCCAATAACCCCCATCCCTCGGAAAGATCAGCAACCTGCAGGAGTCCTGTGTCCTCAGAGACCGACGGAGGACAGGCAGAGCAGAGTCAGGGATTTTGTAAAAGCCCAGTGTTCGGCAGGACTGGACAACGAGAACATATGAATGTTGATGTGCAGACACACTCCTCGGGTTCAGGAAGTGAAGGGAATTCAACCCCTACCAGGGATCCGTCTCAGAGTCTGGTGAGTTCAGGCGCAAGACAAGTAGGACGGAATAATGTGAATCCTCGTAGCTTAATTTAAAAAAAGAAAAACATAATATTCAAAACTTCCAATGAATGATGTCGCTTAGGAGGCTAAACTTGGCTCGTCATTGTGACTCTTACCCAATAAGCAGTCGGTACTGAGGTTAAGTTTCACAATGTTTGATAAAGAAAATTATACAAACAATAACCAAAGTAGAACCATACGGTCAACAAAATGATCCGAACCAAATCACCTTCTTTTTCCAATCACACAAACCCAGAACACAACAGGTGGACTAAATACCTTAAACCATACCCAGGGGCCTCATTTATAAACGGTGCGTACGCTCAAAAGATGGCGTACGCCAGTTTCTACGCAATGTTTGCGATTTATTAAAAAAAAATGTGCGGTCCTCCACGCAAACTCTGACCCATGCGTAGCACAAAAACGGGAGAGACGAGAAACTGCGACACCGTTGGCAGAAGGGAGAATGGAGAGAAATATGTGGAAATAATACCATAAATAAAATGTTACCTCTCATTTATCAAATATGAAGAATTCATTTTCACAAATTGATTAAAGCCAATCTTTAAATGATTAAACAAACGCCTGTTTGAGACTCCTCAGTGCACACAAAAACATAACTTGGAGAAATAAATAAATACGGAAATGTTATTGATCACCCCTCGATTATGTTCTCTTGTTAAGAAATGTATTCTCATAAATGATGCGGTAAGCAGGAGGACAGAATTACTTTAAACTGACGCCGTTTTGCATTTCTATAGGTTGTATAGATACGAGCATGGTTTTATATACTATCATGTTTTATGCCGTTTGCCAAGACTTGATAAGTCGCTCGTAAAACACAGGAGGTATGGAAACTAAGAACACCATATGTGGTAAATTGTACAGCTAATATAACACAACACATTAGTTGTATTTCCTTTAACTGGTGGATTATGGATATATAGTTGCTGATCGACAGCTGGAACACAAACCACCAAATACAACAAAAATAATTCAGATCCAGTCGTCATGACTCCACTCCGGAGGGATTCCCCGATCATTTCTTACAGTTTCTCATCAAGAGGGTGTCTCCTGTCCCCGGTACAAACACACTGCCTGAGGAAGGCTATGTGTATTTTTGTTGTCATTAACCTTTTTCGGACCACTTATTTATTTATTTTGGTGACGATCCGACCTCCATGCTGCTACTCTGGTTCAAACTGCATCCACCAAACAATATGATTTATCTCGACCTCCCCAAAATAACCAAAATCTGACACGGTGTGAGATGTCTTTTTTAGCTGTTCTGTCGTCATTTCCTGCGATCTTCTTCATGCAGTCAGTCACAATGAATGAATGAATGGGCGTTTCTTTGACTATTTATAGGCAAATATGGGCGTTACGTGAAGCCCGCAAAAGCTGCCCCGCATTTCGAGTCGATTGTGATTTATAAAGGGAAACCGGCGTAGGACGTGCCGCACGCAAGTCCTACGCCGGTACGCAGTGTTTTATGAATCGGAAAATGTCTGCGTATTTATTTGCTTTGTCCTACGTAAGCAACCTTCCCACGTGAATCCTACGCAAGGCTTTATAAATGAGGCCCCTGGTGACAATTGCTGGAAGTAACTATTTGTGGTGTAAACAAATGATGATAATAATTGAATCAGTCAACAACGGCTACTCCTACATTTTAATTCTAAAAACAAATCTAATACCACACTGGGACATTTATTTTACATGTTTTTTCATCGTGTTTCAAAGCTGTGTTACTGCACAGTTGCAGATAAAGATACAGATACACTATTATTATTAGATTCATATTATTTATAGGATTAGATTTCAGTGGTTGATTGTTTCTGAATATTTCCAATAACTCCGGAGCGTACAAAATGTATTTAGATAGATGTTATCACAGCATTCTTTTTATCTAACAAAATCGACTTTTATTGGTTGGTTGATGTTTAGCCTTTGTTGGTGAAGCTCTAAAAAATACTTTTATTATACAGTGATAAATAACTAATAAAAGGATTACTCACTATCAGCTTCATGTCAGCAGCAAGTGGTCCAATGCTGTTATAGAGCCTATTTTTGTTTGGTTTATTTTATGTTGTTTATATTTAAATACTGAATTAAATTGTATGGGTAGCCTCGGGTTTAGATGAAAGTGTAATTTGCTCTTGTTGTTTTAAAGTTGTAATATTTAAACATCTGTTCTGAAAACTTTTTTTTTTTTTCTTGCTTTTGAATATAGGACAGCAAGCCAGACCACAATCCAGATCTCAGGTTGAATAAGGCATTTCTGTCAGGTACAGTGAAACATCATTTGGAGGTTTATTTTCCTAAATGCTTTTAATGTCCGGTCAGGAAAAGTCAGAGCCTTTTCTTCAGTGGCTCTCTGTTTTGTGGTTTCAGATAACACAGAGCATGAAATATGTAAAGAGGGAAACTCGGCAGAGTCGGAGCTGACCAGTGATATGGTGTTACTCTGGTCTGGAGAGGACAACGACGTCACGGTACAGAGCCTTCCTCCCTGTTGCAAACCAGAATTCAAATGTTGTCCAAAATATATAGACTATATATAAAACTGTAAAAGCTGTGTTATCAAATACGTATGCTCCAGATTAAACTTAATTTGCTGGCAAAAGAGGTCAAAAGCTCTCTTTTAATAGTAAAGGTAGCTGACCCCTGTACTAGAGCAACAGATATGTATTCAAACGTGAATGAAAAGTCACCATTTCTCACATCCATCTCTCCCCTCCAGCCGACGGGGTCTCTCAGCCCGGTCTTCCCAGAGGAGAGACCTCTTCATCAGGCAGAAAGTGAGACCGCCCCCCCGAACCATGTGACCGCAGCTTCTCCAGGGACGAACAGCAGGTAGAGGAACAAACAACCTCATGAGAACACACTCTTAGCTTTTAATGTAACTTAAGCAGTCAGACACATTCAGTGAGTAACAAGCATCACTGTATACTTGTCTATTTAAAGAGTTGAGGGAGGTCTCTTTACAGTACCATAATGCTTTATTGTCTGATCAAGTCTAAAAATGTTCTGCCATCACAGCAGCTGCATTTGCAACATAAACAATGACAACTAGTTAAAACAGTAAACAAGGGAACAGCCATTTAACCAACCAACATAACATCACTAAATACAACATGTTGAAGACCCTTGACCCTACATTTGATCTGGGATTAAACTTTATATTTAATTTAAAGATTGACAGGAGTGCTTTAGTCTAACTTCATTAAATCGTAAATCTCCAATTTTATGGCAACAATTCATATTCGCTGTTCAGGACATGGCTGGGGTCATAGACACTTTTATTTGCAAGCCTCATTATATTATAACTGTTATGCTCATTATAACTCTGTTTGTTTTGGCACTCAGACCTTCTGCCTCTCCCACATCAAGCGGCCGTCAGCAGCTTGTAGCCACAGAGCGACGTTTACAGCCAATCAGCAGTGAGCCTGCAGAGGGGCCGACAGTGAGCTACTACTGGGGGGTTCCCTTCTGTCCACGAGGCCTGGACCCAGACAAATACACGCAGGTGAAGATTTGTTTAAAAAAAAAAAAAAGAAAGAACAGTTACAAAGTGTTATTTCAGGACAGTTTTTAAACCATCGTTATAGTTCCTGGTTGCATCTTAAATGTAAGGAATTATTGCTTTTCTCTGATTTCGTAACTTGGGCTCTACAAGTGTCATTTGTTTTCATTCAAAGCTTCTACTGAGGTTGCTAATGACATGGCCAAGTTTTATGCAACACACTTTCCACATCACAAAACGTTTATAGGTTGGAATATTACCTCTATCGCTGGTTCTGTAACTTATTTTGCTACACCAACCATTAAGCCACAAGAACCAACTAATATGCACTTACCATTAGTGCTAATCCTTATTTTATTTGCAGGTTTTCTCAAAATGTTGTTAAAATTGTCACTGCTCATGCAATTCATGCTTTATTTTTCTTTCAATTTATTTACAATCTTCTAAAGTTGTATGGAAACCTGGCTCATTTGGCCTTTTAATACAAATGTTTTACTGAATTACAGAAACAATAAAAAAGCATTAGCATTCGATATCGATTTCTCACTTTCATCCATCCTGCAGGTGATCATGGCTCAGATGGAGGTTTATGAGAAGAGTCTGAAGCAGGCGCAGAGGTTCCTGCTGAGGAAGGCCGAGTGGGGGGGGGGCCGTCCTGCCACAGCCGGAGGTAACATAACCATCTTAACATGAGTCTGTAACGGGTGAATTTATGGGCTTTATTATTTAGTTACTGGGTAGGATCTTGAGCCAAACAAAGGTCTGACCCTGCTACATTTTATGCTATATATTATATGCTTCATAAACAGTAAGCTCAGCTTTATTTAGTTATATAGCAGCTTTCACACAAATATGCAACATAAAGTGCTTCAAATTTAGAAAAAACAAATGACAATGGATACAACTTGCCAATCAATAAAATGTACAAAATAAATGTGTAAGAGTCAATATAATAACATTTAAATAAGAACACCATGGATCATGAAATATATCTGATGTTTAAAACGGTTCGTTGTGAGTCGGTTAACAACATTTTTTCATTTTATTCCATAGAAATCCCCTTCACCGGAGTCAGCTCCTGAATCACCTCCACAGCCGGTTCAACGAAGGTAAGGCAGCACTTCTAATACGGGGATATTTCTCTGATATAATCCTGTTAGCCATCACAATCTACAGGATACAACTACCAAATGTAAAGGGACACTGGGAGGTAGCTCAAATGCTTGTATTTTTGTACTCAAAGACTACATTGAAAGTGTTCATCTCAGATATTTAAAATAACAAACACTGCGTATATATCATTATTTACAGTCTTTGGAAAAAAGATAGACATTCAATGTCCATCATAACTTATTTCTTTAACTTCTGCGTGAAGCTGAATTATTTATAATACTGACCATCCAAACCACACGAAAAGTTAGTACAGTTATTATGCATGCTGGCATTTTATGGGCTCTTCTTCACATTATTTTCCAGTTTTAATGCACTTCAGAATCGGTGAACTATGTACAGATACAGTAAGTATTTTTGCCACTAGATGTCACTAGTTAATAATTGTCAACTCAGTTCATCAGACCAAAGTAAAAACGTAACTATCAAGATGATTGTTGGGTTTGAAGGAGCGTTTTCTTTTTGTGACACCAACATTTTTTTACATGCGACAATGAAAGCATTACATTCTCACATTTGAAAAGCTAGATGTTCAGCATATTAGTTTAAAAAATCCGTACAATGGTTAATCACTGATCAAACTAGTTGCATATTTAATGTTGCATTGTATCGACCTATGGGTGCCATTTTGTCCAGAGAGAGAACACAAAATGATGAAGTGGAACGGGTGAAGTCATTATCAAACCAAACAACATTTATTTATTTGGTTGCATTTCCAGGAGTGGCCTCAGACTAAAAGGTAAAAAAGTGTTTGAAGAAGACGATTCCTGTCCAGCCGAGGCAGAGGAGGAGGATGAAGAGAAGCAGGAGGAGGAAGGAGAAAGTAAAAAAGAAGAGAAGGAGGAGAAGAAGGCAGAAGAAGGAGGACATGTAGACACTGATGAGGACTGTGAGGTTTGTCCAGGTACGGAAGCTCTTTTCTATTGACTATCATTAAGGAGCTTGAGGTTGTTATTGTCATGAAATGTATTTATGTTGTATTTGATCGTTAATGAGAAGAGTGTTTTTTATTGTCAAGCGAACAAAAGACTGTTAAATTCTCACCAGGCGAGTCTGCTGTTTGTTTGGCTTCTCCTGTGATTATTTTTCGCATGCACAAAAGGCCTTTTATTATGAACCTGCTAACAGTCCTTTGAATCTCTTGTTTGTAACAACAGAAACCCAGCTGAGTGGCAACGATGACGACAGCACGCAAGATCTGATGATGGGAACTAGCGCTGGGGCATCGGTGAGATTAAATACCTAAATCTGCACGGCAACACGAAAGTCTTAAGAGGTTTCTCAACTTTGTTTCATTAACTCTTTGGTTTTTAAACATTGTGAAAGAGACAATTGACAACAATAGCGTTAAGGAGGATGTTCAGATTGGGTTCATTCACAAATCAACAACCTGACATGTTATTCCTGCTTCACCCTGATACGACGACATAGTTTACCTGGCAGGTTTTTTCAAAATACAATGTAAAGATGAACTTCTTTATTAGAAACATGTGTCTGCACATCACAGAAGAGAACCGTACAGAATACATTTAACATGACAACAGCTATTTTACCACTTCTTCCTCTTCATATAATGACAACATTTTTTCCTATTTGGATTTTAGTCTGAGTGTAAAATGAGTCCAGAGCGGCCGGAGGTCGAGGTGATTCTCCAGGTGGATTCTCCAGCCGAGGCTGAGCGGCAGGAGGAGATGGAGGTGGAAGGTACGGCTCACAGACTGTTAATAACAAGCAGATGTATTCACTTTGACATATTTTTCCTGTTTGCCTAAAATGTTGACTTTCCTTCCCCTCTCTAAGCTGTTCTCCCTACATTTCAATCCCCGCAATTGTTAACCTTGATCCAAATAAAGGAATCAATCATCAGGATTAAAATAATATTTGCGTTGGGTCCATTGGGTTTTGCTCCATTTTAGAGTTAAAGGTGGGGTAGGTAAGTTTGAGAAACCGGCTCGAGATACACTTTTTGTTATATTCCATGGAATGCTCTTAACATCCCGATAGCAATGAATATCTTAAGTGCTTTGACAAAAATTCCATAAAAAAATGTCATCTGTGGAAGCCGTAGTACTGTAAAAAGCACGACTAATCATTTTAGCCGGCCCGGCTAAAATAACTGGATGGCCTACCTGCCTGTCAGCCTTCCATCTGTGCACAAACTTATCTCGTGCCCTCATTGGTCATGTGCGCGTTCGTGTGTGTTGGAGGAGGGGCTCTGTAAGGAAGTGGCAGATTTTCTCTGGTTGTGTATTTTCAAATTCTAGCGATCTCGAGCCGGTTTCTCCGAAATTACCTACCCCACCTTTAAATAGTGGGAAATAAAAAGAAATATATATTTTAATAGCACAACAAGTTAACAATATATACAGTGGTGCTACTTATTTTGAACCATGGATGTGTACTAATCTGGTTTTATAACTAAGCAGGGGCGGATTTACCGGGGTGGCATGGGGTGGCAACTGCCACCCTAAAAAATAGCCTTGCCACCCCAGCTGCCACCCCAGTTGGCAGCTTTGTTTTGAAAGAAAAGTTGTGGCTCATCGGACATTTATGAGAGAAAATCTCTAATGTCCGAGTGCAAGTGAATGCAGCACAAGACGCGAGCCTTGTAACCCCTCCCCCGGCCCTGGCGCGAGCGTGGAAATATGATTGGCGGCTATTTCATTTGAACAGGACGGCGCAAAACGAGAAGCATTCGAACAAGGAATTAGGTATTTGCGGTCTACAATGACAGAGAAGAGACTGTCAAGTTTGGCTGTACTCAGCATTGAATCAAAACGCACTAAAGCTTTGGATCTTACTCATTTTGTGAGGCGTTTTGCTGAACAAGATGGTAATCGCCGCATTCAGCTGTTATAGGCATGCCAACTTGATGCTCTGCTCACGGATGATCATAAATAACTGTTAAGATGATGACCTTGTATGTGTGTATATATTTTTTTCTTTGTGGGGGTCTGCCCACAAAAAACAGTTTTAAGTCCTGAGAAAGTCGAAATAAGACGGTGTGTAAAACTTCACTGCCCAGCCAAAAAAAAGTAACCACTTTGATTTAACTAGGCCAGTAGGTAAGGGCTTTCCACTGGATAATAACTGCAGCGATGTATATGTTTTAGGTGAATACACGTTTTTTAACCCTAACTGATATAAAGTCAAGGTTGTAACTGTTTGCAATAAAGTCGTGGGGCGCTGAACTGTTCTTTTGAATCTTTTGAATTTTGATATATGATAGTAATTACTTGTCTTTCAAATTTTGAAGGAGGGTGAGCAAGCATCTTGAGGAACATTCATCATTAACTCCTCCAAAAAATGTTATATATATATATATTCAATATTAAATGGATATGTGAATCATAACAGTGATTGACAGCTGATAGGAATAATATGATTGTTAATATTATCATATTCATTCAGACAAACATCGATGAGACAGTTAATTAATGTACTTATTGCAGCAGTCAGCATAGATTTGGTACCCCTGCTGGTCTAAGAGTGAAACAAACTCATTCAGTTAAAATTCATTAAATTATGTCTGCCACCTTATATATTTATATGTAAGGCTTTACTGATGTGCCACAATAATGTCACCTATGTTATTGAGTTAAAATATCAATATTGTGGCTTTCCAAGTTAACATTGATTGATATGACTGGGATTAAATCAGCATATACTAGGGGATGCCACCCCTCAAAATCTCCTGCCACCCCTCAAAATCTCCTGCCACCCTCTTGCCACCCCATGAATATTTTTCTAGATCCGCCCCTGTAACTAAGCATGTGCTTGCTTCTTTATTTAGTCTACTCTTCTTATTTGCCTTTTGCCTTTTTATCTGCACAGCCCTTTGCTGTAACACTAGGGGTGTAACGGTATCCGTATTCGTCCCGAACCGTCATGGCTCGGTTCATGCAGTCACACAACGAATACGCCTTTTTTTTATGAGTGGGAAAAAAGTCTGTCACTTTGGGCAGTATCCACTACACTATATAATCCAGGGGGCGGTATTGCGCCTAAAAGCTGTTTGCCAGCCGCCCTTAAACAACAAATGAAGAACAAGAAGAAAACACAACAAAACGAACAAAATACAAGAAGAAGAAAAGTTAGAATGGCGATTTCAGATAATAGTCCAGCAGATATGTGAAAGAATTGTGCTTTTGATGATAAAAACATGAACTTTGGCACACTGTTAGAGCATGCCCTAAGAAAGATTTTTGGCTATAGGGCCATCGCATATTTGTCCAATGGCGCCAATGGTGGCCATTTTTAATATGGTAGTTATTTTACCAGTAGCTTAGGATCTAGACCAGGCATGGGCAAACTAAGGCCCGCGGGCCATATACGGCCCGTTGGGCTTTTTAATCCGGCCCGCCGAATATTGGTACAAAATTGTCCAAATTATAGTAAAGACCGCATTCATTTAGCCTTTTTCCTGCAATACCCGGCATTTCAGTTGATCCCACTAGATGGCGCACTCTAGACACAAATTACCTTTTGCTGGAGTCGGCAACCCACCAAATACGTCACGCTTACATTGGAGGGGGTCAGTTCACGGTTAGTAGTACAGCGAATACAAATTGTAACAAGCAGTAGCGCTGAGAAAAGGGACTAGAACGCGACCACACACTTATAAAACACACTTATATAAAGTCAGGCAACACTAACCAGCTTAGTGTGATTCTGTTTATTTTGTGTAGAAAACGGCTTATGCCACAATATGATAGCAACAAGTAGTCGAGATAGTCTGATTAGCTTCGGTTGCTATGCTAACATCACCTGTAGAATGCCAGAGAAACTTTCATAACAGCGTTGTGATGCCAAACAGCTTTCATACTGAAACACATTCACTGATGGGGATGGGGGATATTTATCAGCTGCTTGTGTGACAGTTGGACAGTGAATACTTCACAGCGGCCGCTGCCTTGAGTTAACAGTAGAATAAACTCTGGTGCACGAGCAGCACTGCAGCGGGCGGTAATACCGCTGAATCACATTAATAAACAATGCACCACGGCACTCTGGAGAAAGTAAGGTTGGAGAAGCAATTATTTAATCTAATCTGGCTTCGTATGATTAAAAACGACCCGACGCAGACGCAGATGTTGTTGTGAGCGGTGTTGCGGAGAAAATCAGCGACGTAAAACTCCGTGTGGGTCATAAGAAGGCACGTAAACGATTACGTCATGACGCAAACGATGACGCAATAACTCACCTTTGAACCTAATTCACCTTTGAACCTGCATCTGTAACAATGAGTGGACCAAAGAAAAGAAAAGTCGACAATGAGTGCCGAGTGTTTAATGAGGAGTGGACAGCTAAATATTTTTTCACCGATCTGCTACTGGCCCGGCCCGTCTGTTAAATTTTAAAACTCATAGTGGCCCCCGAGCCAAAAAGTTTGCCCACCCCTGATATAGACCACCTAGGATCTTGATTCTGGTGGCTAATCCTACATTTTTAAGGATGAGGAATGCAGTGGTACTATTTACAACATGCTAGAATGTAGCTAACTCCATGTATCTGGTATTCAGGGAACATACGCCGGAGCCTCGCAGCGGCGAAACTGTGGCGCGCTTACAGTAATTGCGCCGCATAAGCGAATAAAGGTGCGCCGCATTTGCGCTTCGGATGAGGCCCCCTCCGCAAGATGAGGCTCCCTCCGCAAGATGAGGCCCCCTCCGCGAGGTGAAGCCCCTTCCGCGAGGTGAGGCCCCTTCCGCGAGGTGAGGCCCCCTCCGCGAAGTGAGGCCCCCTCCGCGAGGTGAGGCCCCCTCCGCGAGGTGAGGCCCCCTCCGCGAGGTGAGGCCCCCTCCGCGAGGTGTGGCCCCACCCAGTCTGCGTGATCTGTGTGTAGGGAGGGACGGGCCTGCTTCCACCCCTCTTCCACATCATCAAACGTCATCCATGTATCCC